AAAAAAGGGACATAAAACTATAAAAAATCGTTCACAATCTTTTTACAATCTCAGTGTACAGTCAGTCCACATCACGAAGATGAAAAATAGGGTTGATTAAAAAGGGATTCGAACTGGGGAATTCGAAGACTCGGATGCACGCTGAGAGGAAAGTAAGGAAAAAGTAAGGCACACACACACACACACACACACACACACACACACACACACACACACACACACACGCACACACACACACACACACACACACACACACACACCACACACACACACACACACACAAAAAAAAAAACATGCTGATGTGATGCTGATATGATGCTGACTGGCTCTGATAGGGCGGAATGAGTACTATGCTGATGGGTTTATGGCCCTGGAATCGTTAAAGTGCCAATAACACTTTGGCAATCGTTAGTGTTCATCAGCTGTGATGTTCGCTGTTTCATCAAGTGATATATTTGCTTTTGTTGTCTTTATTTATTTATTTATTTATCTATTTTCATTATCATTATTTTTTTGAAGGGGGGGGGGTGAAGTGTATGTAGGTCTAGATTTGGGTAAATTATACATTTGTTATATTTGCTTTGTTGTCTTTATGTTTTTTTTTTTTTTTTTTTTTTGAGGGGGGGGGTGAGGTTGTATGTAGGTCGAGATTTAGATGAATTCTACTAATGGCGTTGATCGTTGCATGATTTTTTTTCTTTTTAAACTTCTACTGAAACAATACATGGCGTTATTTGATTAATACATAAACTGCTTATACTCTACAACGTACAGGTATACACGTGAATACGCATGTGCACAGACATTAATAACATATCTAAACAAAGACACACATAAATACACAAACAAACACGCCCACACATAAACACACACAAACACAAATTAACAAACCGTACACCCCCACACACGCACTAACACCTTTCCTCACACCCAACATTAACTCCCCCCCCCCACACCCACCCACCCACCCACGCACACCCACACACACACCATTAACCCTCCCCCGCCCACACCCCACCCACCCACCCACACCACAGCCACAGCCACAGCACACACACCACTAACCCGTCCTCCTCACCCCCCCCCCACCCAAACCCACCCACCCACCCACACAACCCCCCCCCCCACCCACACCCACCCACACCCACACTTACCTTAGCCATGAGGGCGGCAGCAATGTAAGGACCAGAGGGACAGTGTACGGGTGCCGGAAACACAGTCCACACGCAGACCACGGCATAGGCGGACCAGCAAAAGAGGTAAGTCAAGACCAAGACGCCGCCCATCTGTGAATGAATATGAGAAAGTGGGCGTGAGGAAGATGTGGGGGAAAGAGGGGGTTGGGGGGGGATGGGAGAGAGAGGGAGAATGGAAAAAGAGAATGTGGGGAAGAGAGGGGGTGGGGGGGAGATGGGAGAGAAGAGGGGAATAGGAGAGAGAAGAATGTGGGAGAGGAGGAGGAAGGGGTGGGGGGTGAGACAGAAGAGGGAGATAGGAGAGAAAGAATGGGGGAGAAAGAAGAAGGAAAGGAAGAAAGAGGGAGATAGGAGATAGAAGAGAGAAAGAATGGGAGAGATAGACAGACAGATAGATAGAGACAAAAAAAAAACAGAAAGAAAGGAAGAAAGAGACACAGAAAAAAGACAGAAAGAAAGAAAGAAAGAAAGAAAGAAAGAGACAAAGAAAAAAAAACACAAAAAACAAACAGACAGACACTGATATAAAAGAGAAACGGAGTAAGGAAATAATTACACTCGGGGAAAAAATGATTAATCTCTCGAGAGCCCAGCAGCTAACTCATGAATTAAGGCGAGCTTTTCACCCAAACGATTTTGCCAATTGGATTTTTATTATTCGTTTTCCTTTTCACTTCTCGATCTCGCCTTCTCTATCGCTCCGCCTGTCTTTTACATCAATAAATCGTATTTTTTTTTTTTGTTTATTCATTTATTTGTGTATTAAAGTTCTTTTTTCATTCATTTATTTGTGTATTAAAGTTCTTTTTTTCATTTATTTATTTGGTATTCTTTTTTTCATTCATTTATTTGTGTATTTTTTAGAAAGTTCTTTGTTTAGTGTATTGTTTGTTGTCGTATTATAAATTGTCCTTTGAGTTCAGCATATGTATGTATCTATATCTATCTGTCTGTCTATCTCTCTCTCTCTCTATCTACCTACCTACCTATCTATCTCTCTATCTATCTATTTATCTATCTATCTATCTATCTATCTACCCATCTATCTGTCTACCTATTTATCTATCTATGTATATACACATGTATGTATATGTGTGTGTGTGTGTGTGTGTGTTTGTGTGTATGTGTGTGTGTATTTATATATACCTTCTTTCTTTCTTTCTTTTTCTCTTTGACTCACCTACTGCTAGAATTACTAATAAAACAAATATGATTAAAATAAGGCATAAGATCTTTCCAGTTGAGGTACAGGTGGAGGACGGACAGGTCATGTACAAAGACGTAAAAAAAAATAATGTTAATAT